GGCACCGTAATTGCTGTCAAGCAGCTTTCTTCCAAATCAAAGCAAGGGAATCGTGAATTTGTGAATGAGATAGGCATGATTTCTGCTCTGCAACACCCTCATCTTGTCAAGCTTCACGGATGCTGTATTGAAGGAAATCAACTATTGCTTGTCTATGAGTACATGGAAAATAATAGCCTTGCTCGTGCTTTGTTTGGTAAATATTACTCTTATATGCCTAAACTTCATTTGGTTCTGTAGATGGGTATAAAAGATCTTATGCATAAAAAAATATGTCCCTTATAACTAACTTTGAGTAATTTGACAAATTGAAGGGCCAGAAGAAAGTCGGTTGAAGTTGGATTGGCCAACAAGGCACAAGATCTGTGTTGGTATAGCTAGAGGTTTGGCTTACCTCCACGAGGAATCAAGATTGAAGGTCGTTCATAGAGACATCAAGGCTACTAATGTGCTGCTTGATAAAAATCTTACCCCAAAGATATCTGACTTTGGATTGGCCAAGCTTGATGAAGAGGATAATACACACATTAGCACCCGTATTGCTGGAACTTAGTGAGTCCCGGTTTTTATTTTTATTTTTATTTTTTATTCTTATACTTTTATTTTGATTTCTTCCACCCCGACGATGGGTCCATAGAAATAGGAAACAGATGGAGGTTTCTCTACTTTTTATAAGTTTCAAACTTAACTAGATCTGTACTGTTAAAGAAACTTTGTAGTATTTTTAGTATTTCGCTAAGCTAAATATGGGGAAATGATGAGCCCTTTTTTGCAGTGGATATATAGCGCCTGAATATGCAACGCGGGGTTATCTGACTGATAAAGCAGATGTTTATAGCTTTGGAATTCTTGTATTGGAAATTGTTAGTGGGAGGAACAACACCACTTACAGAGGAAAGGAAAAAAGCTTTTATCTTCTCGATTGGGTAACATGATTCTACTGCTTCCTTATTTAAAGTTAAATTTAATCTGATACTGTTGATCTCTATTCTATGTTTGTGTTGGAATTGTAGGAGTTGTGATGTGTGTTGCTCTGATACCATTGTTGGTTTATGTGGTGAAGGGGTTTAGGACAATAGACAATAGTTGAAACAAAGTAATTTTATTATATTGGAGGAGAATAGTACATGGCTTGGTATAGGCTAATTGGTCTCCTTAGCTTATTGGCTTATTGGCACCACATTTGATTTAGAATAGTCTGAGCTATTTGGCCCTAGCTTAAATTGGTGAGCTTATTGGCTCCTCAACATAGCTTTATTTGGGTAGCTCTTGGCTCCCTAATAGTTTGTGAGTTCTTTTCGTTGGACTCCACATGGATTGGGAGTTGGTGGATGACTCCACTTTGCTTTGGAAGGCTACAAATCCTTTTATAGGTGAAAGTAGCCAACATAGGCTTTCTCCACCAACTTGATCTCTTTACTCCAGCCACAAGTGTGTGGCTTTCTAGAATAATCTTCATGGTTGCATGTAGTTGCCGACTTCCCATCAAGCTTCTAGATTTTTCTATACAAATGTGTATTAATTTCACACTCCTCCTTAATACACATTTGTATTTCTCCAAGCATGCTCCTCCTGAAGCTAGCATTGATGAAGCTCTAGTTGATGCTACAACTCCGTGCTCTTGTGGCACTTTGTTTGTTCGTGCTCCTGTAACACTTTCTTTGTTCATAGTTACCTTGATAGTTCTTTGCCAGCAATATATTTTTTTTCTTCTCAACGCCCAATTTTTTAGTTTCAACATACAGGCTTCTTTTTTGCACACCCCACATGGAGGAAAGTTTTTCCTCTCATGCCATTTCTTTTCTTTTCACTATCTCCTCCTCTACAACTTTCTCTAGATCTCCTTCCCCTTCTCTAGATTTTTTGAAACCTTGAATTAAATATCGATAGCACGTACCTTGCTTCCTTAGAATCGGCCCATGCGCCCATAGTTGATTGAACCAGCTCTGACGCCTAATGCGATCGAACCAGCTCTGATACCATGAAGATTTTTCTAGATGAAGCCACATACACTTGTGGCTGGAGAAAAGAACAAGGAGGTGGCTAAACAATAGCCACAAAAATACAGAAGTTTCTAGTAAAAGCCACATACTTGTGGCAAGAATAAGAGACCAAGTCAGGAGACTTGGTGATGTCGTCAAAGATACCTATAAATAGGCATGCAGCTTACAAGTGTGGTGGAGTCCAACAAAAAGAACTCCCAAACTATAAGAGAGCCAAGAGCTAACCAAACAAAGCTATGTTAGGGAGCCAATAAGCTCACCAATCTAAGTGAAAGGCCAAATAGTCCAAAACTAATCTAAACCAAGTGTGGTGGCCAATAAGCCAATAAGCTATGACGAAGGCTAATTAGCCTACACCAAGCCATGTACTATTCTCCTCCAAATCTAATAAAATCACTTTGTTTCAACTATTGTCTATTGTCCTAAACCCCTTCACACATCACACCTCCTAAATTCTAACAGTTTGTGGCTGAGAGAAAGTGACTGATACTGCAATAGTTTTAAGGGTATACTAGTGATTTGCCCCCTAAACTTGTACCTAATTTTCAATTAACCCCCTATTCTTTTTTTTTTTAGAAAATTAAGGATATGAACTTTTTTTTTTCTCCAATTTCCCCCCTACTGTCTAAATCATCAACATTTCATCCAATTTTCAGTTAAATCATTTTTTAAAATTATTTTTTTGAAAAAAAATTGACAAAAAAAGAAAAAAAAGAAAGAAAAAGACAGTAAAGAAAAAAGATCGTGAGAACCCAGCCCCACCCCTCTTCTTTCTTCCCTCAATTCTCCCATGACCACCCCTCCCCTACAAACCCAGAAACCTCAGCCAACAACCACAAACCCAGAAGCCCAGAAACCCAGATCTGGTTCCCCCCCCTTCTCTTTTTAAGTTAGCTGTAAGTCTACTTTTCCCTTCATCCAAACACAATTTATAGACTCAACTTTTTTCGTTTCGGATGCAAAACATGGGTGCAATTAGAATCTGTTCACCAGGAGAAGCCAAGGTTCCTATTCCCAAAAATTATGCCTAGATAATTATTTTAGCCCAAAATAAATTGTTGGTCAGTGTCTTTTCTTTTCTTTGTTAATCCTCCAAGAAAGTATAGAAGTCGATACCTTGGAGGAGAGCAAACACATTCTTCTCAAGAGCAAGCTTGGCAGCGCCAATATTACCTTCATGAAGCATGGGAAGCTCAGATGGGGACCAAGCAAAGTAGGACCCACCATCTCCACCGTACACCTTCTTGGCCGAGAGAGAGAGAGAGAGAGAGAGAGAGAGAGTCCAAGAAAGTATAGAAGTCGATACCTTGGAGGAGAGCAAACACATTCTTCTCAAGAGCAAGCTTGGCAGCGCCAATATTACCTTCAAGAAGCATGGGAAGCTCAGATGGGGACCAAGCAAAGTAGGACCCACCATCTCACCGTACACCTTCTTGGCCAAGAGAGAGAGAGAGAGAGAGTCTGGCGATTGCAAGGTTAATTACTTTGGATGATCTGGTTTTTGGAGAAAAGGGATTTTTCTTGTTGGTTTTAATTTAATGAATGGAGGAGATGGAAAGCAACGCTGTTGGAGGTGATGGTGGAGCTGGAGAGCAACGCTGTTGGAGGTGATGACGAGGGTTGAGAGAGAGAGAGAGAATTTCAATTTTTTGTTTTTGTTTTTATTTTTATTTTTATTTTTAATGTACAAAATGACCATTTTGCCCTCATTTTTAACGGCAAATTGGATGAAATGTTGTGGATTTAGACGGAGGGGGGAAATTGGCGAAAAAAAAAGGGAGTTTCACTAAAATACCCAAAATGGGGGCTGAAATTATAAAAATACCCAACACCCAAAACACTTTATAAACATACCCAAAACTCATCATTACACACACTCAAAACTCATTTATAAACATACCCAAAATCCATCATTACACACATACCCAAAACTCATTTTGGGTATGTTTCTATGTTTAAATAGTGTTTGGGTATTTTTATAAATACATGTCTAGAATTGGGTATTTTTATAAATATCTAAAAAAAAAAGTTCATATCCTTAATTTTCTAAAAAACAAGAATAGGGAGTTAATTGAAAATTAGGTACAAGTTCAGGGGGCAAATCACTAGTATACCCTAGTTTTAATGATGATCCAAAATCAAGTCTAGCTTCATTTGACATTATCTTTCTCTGACAATATATTTGTAAAGACAAATTATCTCTGACAATATATGTTTCTAGGCACAACTACTAAAAGGGCAAGGGAATTTGATGGACCTAGTGGATCCAAGGTTGGGCTCAGACTTCAACAAAGAAGAGATGATGCTTACAATCAATGTGGCTCTCCTCTGCTGCAATGTCACTTCAACAGTTAGGCCTACCATGTCTTCAGTTGTGAGCATGCTTGAAGGTAGGGCTGCTGTTCAGGAATTGGTTTCAGATCCAAATGCCTCAAGTTTTGAGATCGAAGCAATGAGGAAACATTTTCAATCCAGTTTCAGAAGGAACACCGGCAAAAGCCAAACACAAACTGCGTCAACTGAAGGGCCCTGGACCGGTTCGTCTACATCTGCTCATGATCTCTATCCAGTCAAGCCTGATTCAACTTACTGGGACAACAGAAAATAGAGAAACTGAGCAAACTTACTTCACTCTCAAACATATATGTTCATATATATCATTTCTACTCTCTCTAAATACATACACATATATTTTTTGTTCGGCAAGATAGCTGAAAGAATAACATACACACACATCTTTGGTTGCCCTTCCAATGCTCCAACAACCCCAAGTGGACAATAGGCCCTTTTCTGTAACTTTTAGTGAACTAATTTAGAATTTAACCCTTTTGGTAAAGGCCTGACAAGGATAAATTGAACTAATTCTTTTAGCCAAATCCAAGTTCCAACCCATTTGTGATCTTAATTTTTTTGTTTTGAAATGTCATTTGTGATCCCAATTAATGCAGATGGTGCAACCTATATGTGCATGCAGAATCATTTACATACGTAACCATAGTGACGAATCCATGAACTTTTTTTTCGTGAGGGAAAAAATACAATTAACTGCGAGATACTCCATCAAACACCTTATTTTCAGGTTATGAAAAATATCAATGGATGGAATTTCTTGGCTAGATTAATACTCACCCTAACATGAATCCTTCAGTATCTTACCTTCTTAAAATCACATTGTCTTAGGTCCTTGTTTTGGTGATGAAGCTATTATTTATTCTCACCAAATTCATATGAACTC